TTCTTCGACGTTGACGATGGTATCGGCGAAGTCGGTCCTGAGGGCGACAGTAGGGATGAAGATGTGGAGAAAAGGACTCAGACGAGTATGGGCAGATTTTAAAGCTCCGTGTGAATGCGAGCCTGATGTGAGAAGGGCTGCACTTGGTCACAGCAAGATCAAAAGACGCCGAGGGACCCTATAGAGCAAATACAATACACCAAAGTAAACCTTGCTTCCGCTACTGTATGTACATTTCATTGGACGCGATCGGCCCTGTACAAGTCGGTGTGCCATACCCATAAATCCTTTGCACCTTCGATTCCCTCACCCAGAATTCGCCGTTCCCTATCTCCCTTACACAGCCAGTCGTCCTCCGCTAGTCCTCAATAGTGCGCTTAGATCAACTTCTTCACTTGGACAATCGTCGCCCGAACAGTCCGCCACATAACCATCCTCATCAACCAGCCTATCCCATCCGTGAAACTCTTCGCTCGTTTCCGTTTTCGCAGCGCAATGAGGAACGATGTAATTGCATGCTTGGAGCGCGTTGCTCACGCAGCTATCGTGGTTATCGACGCGCATGTGGTAAAAAGACATGAAGGCAAGAAGCCCTATAACTTTGAAGGGTTTACGGATGCGCAAAAGGACGAGACCAGAGCAGGATAGTGCTAGTAGCACGAAATTGGGGGATGGGTATGAGAACATAGAGGCTTGGGGATGGGGAGGTGGGGTGTTGGGTTTTGAGGGTATGAGAATGGTATGGTATATCGGCTACGGTGGTGTCAAGTTTGCTGGTCCTCTTCGAGGTTTGATTGCTTTTAGAATAGATAGCACAAGAAAGTACTAATACAAATAATGTGTTGCTTATTCTCTTTCTAAATCTTACTAACACAATCTCTTCTGGTAAGAGCGAGAAGAATCTCCAAGCAGACTCTCTCCACCTATCTACTTCTCCACACCCCCACCCCATCCACCTCATCCACCACCCCTACATAGGCAAATTCCAAATAAAATCCAGCGTCCCATCATCAAACCCCTGCAACCCCCCCTGCAACCCCCCATCCAGCCCAAACGGCGCCATCGCCGGATCAAAAGGCAGCGCCAACCAATCATCATCCGGCATATCCGGCATAAGCCCCGTTACATTCTCCGCTAAACTGGACAAACTAGACTGGCCCGCATTATGGTTGTTCAAGAACGCCATGCCTTCTGTTGCGGAGGCAGAGGCCGCGTGTGAAGTGTTATGTGAGGTATTGTGAGGGGTGGATGTTGCGCGCGAGGGCAAGCGGGGTGGGCGGGATGACACGACGAAGGATTCGCGGAGGCGGGCGACGTGCAGGTCGAGGAGGGTGGCGTAGCGGGATGCGAGGTGCATGTCGTCGAGGGTACCTAAGATGCCGTGTTAGTGACCGCAGAGCGACATGTGAGTTCTTGGGAAAGGTGGACTTACTAGCACGAAGAGCCCTGATCGCCGCATCCAGAATATCCAAACAGCTCTGCAACTTCGCATTCCTACTGCCCAGACTCAGTCCTTTGATCAAGTATATCGAGCTAGTTGTTATCCGCAAGAAGATCCTGACAGGCGAGTACCGCAGCGCCCCGGTTTCAGAAAGCTGACAGACCTTTTGCAGGATCTGACAGCTTCCGTCGACGACTTCTTGGATGAAGTCGTAGTCTCGCGGCTCGAGGTTGAAGGGGAGGTTGTCTTCCTGTGGCACGTCGGGATCGGTTTCAGCGAGTGTACGCTCAACGACGGCTTGCATACCGAGAGAGTTGGTGTAGATGCGGACATATTGGTATTCGATGTGGAGCATATCGTGGAGACCGACTTTGAGCTTGCAGGGGTCGAGGTACTTCTTCCGCCATGATACTAGTAGTGGTTGGAAGTGTTCGAGCAGCCCGATGTAGCGACCGGTGCGTAGTAAACTTCGTGTCGTTGCGGTGTTTGGGTAGATGGTGTCTGAGATTGAGCGAGCGAGCTTGGTGAGTTCGACCCAGGCGCTCATGAAGGACTGCCATTGCTCGACTGCACCGGTTGCAGAGTCGACAGGTATCTTCTCCATCAGAGCATGATTAAGACTCTGCGGGATCATCGATGTGCAACCGAGCCTCCATGAAAGCTGTTCGAGCAAAACGTATAGTAGCTTCCGAGCCCGAATCCTCCGTAAGATGAGGTACTCCGTCGTAAACTTTGGGTAAGAGACTTGGTCCTTGTCGATTCTAGCGTTGTCTTCGAAGAGACCCAGTTCTTGTGCTAGTGACAGCGCGCAGCCCATCAACATCCATGACATGCGGTCGGAACGCTTTGCGGGCTCAATGACATCTTCAAGCCATCGGTTGGACGTTACATCTCCTTCCAACAGCTTCGCGCCTTCCTCTGTGGTGTTGTTCGCGCCGATCATGAGCTCGCAGTCCCAACCATCAGCGGCAGTGGGGAAATGAAGCGCGCGAGGATGCCATTCAGAAAGCAAAAGAAGCGCCTCTATAGATCCAATGGTTCGGCTCTGTGCTTTCGATGGCTTGACCTGCCCAAGCATGATCTTCATGATGAAGCGCTGGCATTGCTCCCAAAGCCTGTCATGCACGAAGTACCCTCTGGATGCGCCGCCTACACCAGGAAGAATGTTGTACCTAGATGAAATCATGAGTATGGTAGTGCACAAGAATGGATCCAGCGCAATCAGCGTGTAGTGATTCTCATGATGGGAATAAAACTCTCCCAGTATCGGCGATAACGGCGAGCAGTTCTTGAAGAACAAATCAACGTAGGTAACCGCCTCATGCGCGGAGAACCAGCCCATCTGCACGAATCGGCATGACGTCCACGTCTTCAGCGTCTCTGGTGACGGGGTGGACATCTGCACCGGCTGCGCTCTGAAGGTGTGGAACGGCGACGACGGAACACCATCGTAGCCTGATGGCCCTGACCTTGGTGTCTCATATGCTTGCGACCCCGACTGTTCCTGGCTATCGATAGCATCGCGATGATGCGCAGCTTCGAAAAGCAAATTCAACGCATCGCTCCCACTCGACACCACGGTCCGCATGACCGAATGCGCAAGATCCGGCTGGCTCGACGAGATCCTCCTCAGATGCCCATGAGGTGACTGAAACTCGGTGCGATTCGTGCCGTTGACATGCGGACTAGTCCCCGGCGTGAAACCATGCGTCGATATAGACGACCTATGAGCTGGCGAGGGCTGCACGTTTGGCGCAGGATTTGACTGAGGGCGATCATGAACAGCCTCATCGTCTTCCTCGCCCTCGCGCGCCGCTTCCCCCGGTTTACGTCTCTTAACCCAGCTTCTCTCGGAGCGAAACACACACTCGCGCATCTCGCGCTTGCATCGCTGACATGGTGGCTTTAGTTCACCACCATCTGGCCCCGTACCCAGGATGCATTTTGCCTTGCGTTGACGACAGTTGATGCAAGCCTTGTATGCACGCTTGAAGTCCTCGGGGTGGGTCCGCTTTTTGCTTGCGGACGCCGAATTGGCATCCTGTTGGCCGGTACCAGTAGCGGAGTCGTCCATGGTAATGGGATAAAAGTTATAGATGATAGGGTGATACAACGGATGGCGCAGGAATTGGTGGTGGGCGGAAGCCCGGGTATGACTGGGTTTTGCGCCTCGGGTACCGGCGGCCTGGTGGCGGGCTTATTCTGCAACCGCCTGCGCCCTACGAGGTAGTGATGACGGACATTGTGTGCGACGCTGCTTACATGATGTTTTGAGCAGGATCGTTCCGTCGTGATACTTGCACGCGAAGGGGATGTATTTGTATGGGAGGCTACAGTTGCTACTGCTGCATCGATGGCACTCGTGTAGTGACCGGCTATCGGTGGGGATCTGAGCAGGCATCAGGAAGGTGCAAGCATGCATTCGGTAATCACGATCGATTGTAAATCATCTACCATGAGGTGCTATCGCGAGCTTACTTACGCGGCTGTACCAGCTATTGAGTGTGTACAAGCCGAATCAAGTCCTGATCGGATATCGAAGTCAATCACCTCAACCTCATATCCGAGTTTCATACTTCCCATCATCCCACAATACGGACCTACAGAGACACACCAACACCGTACTTCTCACTATCTCTCTGACATCCCTCATCGATCTTTCGCCATCTCTTCAACTCATCGAAAATGTTACAACAACAGCACCAACTCCCAGAACCCCATACCAACAACTTCCTACCCTTCCACCCTCACCCGTCGTCGTGGAAGCCGGCACATCAGACGCACTAGCTGAACCCGCCGACTCGGCGCTCGTAGTCAATGCTGCAGAAGACGCAATACTCGCATCAGCACTCTGCGCAGCGCTCGAGAACAACGATACTATCCCAGTCGACGAGCCCAGCGCAGTACCACTCACATCTCCACCCCCCGTCCCAGACACCCCAGACATCTCAGACTCACTTCCCACGCCCGTGACCTGCGTCGACATCGGCATCGTGCTGATTGGCGTCGGCGTCATAGTATTCCAATCCGTGCTGACCACCAGCGTTAATGTTGAGTTGATGGAGTTGGAGTCAGGAACCTCGCAAAGCGCCTGATTATTCTCGTTGGTTATGCAGATTTCCTCGCCGGTACAGCACAGTTGGGAGGCGTAACCGCATGCTGTGCCACCGTCGGGGCATCCTTGGGCTAAGGCGACGCTGATCAAGGTGAGGAGGAAGGGTATGAGAGTTGTCAGGCGCATGATTGGTGGTGAGTGGTTCGGGTGGAAAGGTGGTGTCGCGTGTATGTCTTTCGCGTCTTTGTTGTTTGTTGGGGCAACAAGGCTACCTAGGTAGTCTGGCCGCCGAATCCTTCTGTCGGTCAGACTAACCTCTTTTGCTGTTTTCTCGTATTACAGATAACATTGGACCTTAATCCGCGTGGTTAGCTACTTTCCATGATGTATTATTGTATAACATCAGATACCAGCAAGGGAAAAGTTGAAGTCGTGATGAGAATCGAACAATATGTTTCATGATCGCTACTCTACCTCGATCCAGCACTACGACCACAACCATCTCTAAGCCAACGCCTCTTCCTTCCTCTGCGCTTTCTTCTCCTCAATCGCCTCTCTCCATTCCCTCCCCTTCACCGCAGTGAGCCACGTCGCGCCCGCCCCCGCAACAAGGAAACCCGCACTAATAGTCGAAAACCAACCCACGCCGATCGCCCTCACCGCAGGAAGACAAGCAGCCGACCCAGCCGCAGCAAACATATACCGCATAAAATAATTCCCCGCCACAACCTCCGCACTGCGCCCCTGCATAACATCCAAACAATACGTATTCAATGACGGAAAACAAAACAGTTGCGCCACACCCTGGAGAAACATCATTACAACAGGCAGCGCGATGCCTCCCACACGCTTCTCGACGCTCCACCCGTAGACGAGCATGCAGGCGGGTATGACGCCGCCGAGGAAGAAGACGCAGGAGCGGAGGCGGTCTTCGGAGACGCGGTGGCCGCGGCGCTGGATGTATTTCTTGACGATGTGGTCGGCGTAGCGGCCGCCGAAGAAGGTGCCGAGGAGGTAGCCGCAGCCGGGGGCGATGTAGAAGAGGCCGGATTGGAGGGGGGATTGAAGGTTGAAGCGGGGGTTTAGGACGTAGCGAATCGGCGTTAACAAACTATACATATTCCACACGAGACTACTACTCGCCAGTGCCGTTAAGAGGATATTCGGGTACCGGTATAGTTTTACGACGCGGAACGGGTTTAGCCATTGCCACATTTTGTGTGCGCGTTGTCTGGTGGGTAAGCCGACGAGTTCATCGGCGCGCTTCTTGTGGATGGTTTCGGGTTGCAGGAAGAAGCAGAAGAGGGTTGCGGCACCGGCCAGGGCGGTTTGCAGCCAGAAGATGTCGCGCCAGGAACGGAATGTTACGATTATGCCGCCGATGAAGGGGCCGAGGGCGGGGCCGATGAGGGTGCCGCTGAGGAACCAGCCTAGGGCTGTTGCGCGTTCTGTCTGCGTGGGTGTTAGTAGGGGAGGTGATGGGGTGGGGATTGCAGTCTTGAGGTGTAAGAGAGCTGTGATGTGGGCTCGTATCATACGCGGCTATCCAAATTGACCTGGAAATGACCAACAATATTGAAAAGGGCATACATACCGGTTTATATATATCCCCAATAACCGCACTACCAATTACAAGGAAAGCCGTGCCTTGAAAAGCAGTGAGGATCCTGAATACGAAGAAAGAAGCCAGGTTGGGAGCCAACGCCGTCCCAATCGAAAACGCAGTAAACAACCCAGCGCTCACAACACTAACCCACTTCCTACCATAGATATTCCCATACGGACCGTAGAAACAAGGCGACAGGCCCATGAAAAGCATATACAAAGCGTTCGACACATTAATAATACTCCCATCCGTATCAAACGTCTCCGCAACCTCAGGAACAGCAGACAGCACCGTGGTACTGGAGATCGGAGCCAGGAAACTGCAGAAGGAGACGACGGCTACAATGACCATTTTGCGGCGCTCGGTGAATTTGTTGTAGATGACGTCGTTGTCGCCGGTGGCGATGTATTGGACGTTGGCCATGTCGTGGTGTTGGCTGACGGAAGAGACTGTGCGTTGGAGTTGGAGACGGTCTTGGTTGATTTCATTGCTGCGTGGTTGGGGGATGATGGATGCGTATTCGGGAGTCTTTTCAGGTTCGGTGGAGGAGTTGGGGGCTTGTTGGCCAGCGGGTGCTGAGGAGGATGTGGAAGAGGGTGCCATTTTGTGTACTCATAGAAGGCGAGATGGTGACGTAGATACTGGTTTTGGTAAAGGAGTCGGGAAGGGACTCGTGCTGCTGGTTAGAGTGTTTGCAGCGACATTCGAGTTGTTGGAGGATGGAGAGAAGAGAGAGCAAGTGACGAGAGACGTTAGATATGTTCACGATTAGAGTACATGTTGGGCTATCTTTGTGCATTAGCGCTCCTGCAACGGCTTCATATCCGCGGGTGGAGACTTGTCGCTGCCCAAGGAGCGTCTTTTCCGTGAAGATTTTCGCGTATATGGCGTCGAGAGGTTATATCCGGTGAGTGGAGTAGCCGACATGGGTGTCGGGCTAAGAATGTCCGGTCGGAAACTTTGCCGCCGTCGATGGAAATGCTCCGAAGTATGCTGCATGCGCGTACCAAGTATCTTCTCGAAGATGTCGATGCACGACTAGAGTAGTTGTAAGATAGTGCATGCCTTATGAGTGCTAGCCAATACTGACCTCGGCACATGACTCCTTGGCACACCAAACTTTCACATGCATGCTGCAGACGACCATCTCGAGTGAGCTCAGGCGAAGAGCCCGCAAATATATACGTGTATTCGTAAGCCATGCGACAGGCCAAATTTGTACGGTGAAAGATTCTAGATAACCCAAACGTGGATCTTGCCGTGAGATCTCGTGTCCTGAACGCCGATGATGCAGTTGCGCTTTTCAAGCAAAGTAACCCTCTCCCAGCTCATATACTGAGCTTGTCTAGACTCAGGCGGTCAGCGCTTCTGTGTCGCTTGACCATGCCCAGCTTGTAGAACTTCTCCTCGCCCGTCGCTGTTCGCCCGCCGATGTACCACTTCTCGGCGCCCATGGCTTCGTGGAAGCCTTCGGAGGAGCTGTCGGAGCCCCGCCTGCCTCGACGCGACGCGCCTGGTATTGGGAAGGCTTGGGCTTTGGGTGATGTGGAGCGGTTGTAGGGGGCGGTGTGTTGTCTGGTGGGTTGGAAGTGGCCAGTCGCCTGGACGGACACGGTTGTCGCACCAGGCGATGGGGAACGCGTCTTTGTGGTGATGGTCCGTGACGACGCGGCTGTTGTGTCGACGGTGTTGTTTTGTTGTGAGGTGGTGTTTTGCGAGTACGAGGCCACAGACGCTGCTTGCGAGGCCGTGGTCTTCTGGAGGCTGGGCTGTTGCGCGCGGAAGGCAGCGAGGAAGCCGCCGAAGAATGGGCGGTTGGTGGTCATAGTGGTGGTGGAGGGTGTCTGATCTGGTGAGGGTCGCTGGTGGCTCTGGGGCATAAGATGGCGTCTATAAAGGTCGAATACTAGCGGCGGTGTAGAGGTGTGTGGTGTGTTGGCGGCTCCGCAACGGCGTTTCGTGCAGCGACCAAATAATAACAGCACAGGCGGCGCTCCGACTGCGCCGTCAAGCTCGGGCACTGCGACGTTTTCTATTCCATGCGCTGATCCAAGGGGGAGCCGCGGAACAGGGGCGCGTCGTGAGTGATGGTTAGTGATGGTTGGCGATTATCGGCGCAAATGTGCGTGTGACGTAGCGAGCTGCACCTGGGGTGGGCGTCTACGCGTCTATATGTGAGGGTATGCGGTGCCGTTGATGTCAGCGGGGTAGGCGGCGACTGTGTTTATAGGAGACTGGGGAGATGGCGGGGGGAAGGAGGTTTGGCAGGTTTGGCGCATCGGACCGTTGCTGGAGAGGAACATGTCGGAACCCGCGACGCACCTGACGAGATGCCAGTGCGCCTCCCGAGCGACCGAGGCCATACCCAATGTCTTCCCTACTAACAACCACCATTCCAAGATAGCGGAGCCATCGACTTCACCCACGATGCGCTGTTTGGCCTGTTGCTCTGGTTCTCGCTTCGCCATGGTGTGCAGCTCTGACAGATCCACGGCCGCTGAATGGCCGCCCACATTGCAACGGCCACCTACGCCGCCAACCACGCACATCGCCAGAACTCGTTCGCATGCCGTTATCCCGCTTGGCCTTATCGAGGCAAATCATCGTGCACCATCAAGTAACGCCCAGTAGTCGACCGCCATGCTCGATATGCGATCGCGATGCCCTGCTGTGTCGCCGGCTATTACCTGCCGCGTTCTCTTAGAAGCATTAACGCTCCGAGTGGTTCCGATAGCCCGGAACACCCACGAGGAAACATGCACTTTGCAACATGTCGCATCTCATACGACGCACGACGGTTAAGCTAACCCTCGTCATGTCTATCCATACCCACCAGAACGCGGGGTAGTCCGAGAATTAGCCCGTCTTCCCCAGATCTGAACATCACATAAAGAGTGACACGGCACTCTTCATGGCGCCGGTGCTCACACCTCCATTGACATGTGCGAACGCATATGATCGGCACAGCATGGTCACGTGTTGTAGAGCCGCTTGTGACGTAGCCATGTGTAGACTCTCTCGGATCACAGCCGGCAGATAGGTCGAGCAAAGCGGCACATCGCTGCACGACGGATACTCATCAGCCTCTCAGAACCATCTCGCTGTACACGAGCGTCATGGCAATCCAAATGCTTCTGCCATGTGCTCCTAAGGCAACCAATCAGCCCTGTCAGCCTTGTGCACGGGCCTCAACTCCCCTCTATCAGGCAACCCTTTGCGTGGCGCAACTGTCACCAACACCCTCCTGCTACTCATTTCCGCGACTGCTTCCTTTGAATCCTGCGTAGCTATTCCAAGCCTTCAGTCATCGTGCGACATCTCGCCACTAAATCGCTATTACTATGGCAACCTTCTCTCTCCTCCCCACCGAGCTCGTGGAGTACATCGTAGCCTATCTCGCTCAACACGACATATACGCTGTTTGCCGAGTCAACAAAAGTCTTTCCAATCTGGCCTTACCATTCCTGTACCGCCATGTTGATCTTTTTATACCACCTGGCAACAAACTCCCCAGGATCGATCGCTTCTGCCTAAACATCATCAGCGACACCCGCAGAGCCAACAATGTCGAGTCAGTCCGCTTGGGACTATCCCCAAGCGAGGATGTTAAACAGGGTCAGCGGTGGCTGGCGCCAGACAAGACCTTTGACGATAAACAGATGTTTCGAAAAGCCATGGTCGCGTTGAGTGATGAGACGTTGGTGGCTGCCGGAGACTATCTGAGAGACGCCATCTACATGCGCGAGTACTCTGCTTATGCTGCGCTTGCCCTTCTCGTCCTTCCCAAACTCCGTCGACTCGACGTAGCAGACTACAAGCAGGCCACCTTCGACCACCTCCACAATGTCCTCCGTAATCTCGACCCTGGAACTTTATGGAACCGGCGCTACCCATCGAAAGTTCTTCTTGATCGCCTCTCATCCATCAAGGAAGTCTCCCTCATGGTTGACCGCAAGACTGGAGTTTGGTATCCGGGCGACAACAACCGCAACCCAATCGGCCACTTCTTGAATATCCCAGGCATTGAGAAACTCGAACTCTTCAATTTAGGCGGACAGTCGCATGCACATGGTGTGGCTATATCGCACTCACTGATAGCCTTCCCGACGGCTACTAACATCACCACGTTGGTCTTCCGACACTCGGGTGCCTTTAACCGGGGTTTGAAGTCGTTGTTCCAATGCACGCCAAAGCTACGGTCTCTTACGTACGACTCCTACTTCAACGCCCGGGCACAGACTACCCAGCGAGGAGATCTGCTCATGGTCGACGCTTGGAACGAGCACCTCAGGCCCCTGCAATCTACCCTGGAAGTCCTAGTGCTCACCGCGGAGTACTCCGACCCAGACGCCTTCTTCTTCGCCCAACCCCGCATTGGCGATAGACTCTGCGGCTTCCTTGATCTCACCGACTTCACCGAGCTACATACCCTTGAGGTCGCCTTCCCCTTCCTCACTGGCGACGTCGACTTCTCCATCACCAAGGATATCTACCCTCTCTTCCCGCCAAACCTACGCCACCTCACGCTACGCCCCGATCTCTCGCACGCCCAACTCCCCTTCCCCTTCGACTCCTCCATCCTACCCAACGGCCTCACATTCGAAGAGTCAAAACAGGAAGCGCAGTGCCTGATGAACGCCCGCATGGACGTATCCTACATGTTCCAAGCCTCCCTCTCCCTCCTCGACTTCTGGCCAGCTCTAGAATCCATGTCCGTCTGGCAGCCTGCCGATCCTTCGCTCGAGTGGTTCGACGGCCAGATTGAAGACTTTGCGACGACGTGTCGGAATAAGAATATTACGGGGAGGCTGCTGAAGCCGATGTTGCTGAGGTGGAAGAAGGCGGAGCATTGGGATTTGATGAAGGAGACGACGCTTTATGATCGGGGTGATCCGCTGTTGGGGAGCGTGGATAGGTTTTGGAGGGAGGAGTGGGAGGGGAGGCCGCTGGGGATGGGGTGTCAGTATCATTTGGGTGCGCTGGCGAAGGGGAAGGTTAGGTTGCGGAGGTAGGAGTTTGATGGACTTTTCGGGACCTGTCGCTGGTACGTCTTTCTCGCACCCTCTTCGCCAAAGGTAGTCCGCTTTCTCGGTCATTCCAATACAGTCCAAGTCAAGCGCCTGCATGACTTCAGTTGCTCCTACGCAAACTTCCGCCACATAAAAGCTCTCACCCCAACGTCCCCAAACCCGCCACCCATCTCCCACCCACCACCGCTACCAGCAAGACAAAACAATCATGTCCACCAACTACGACCTCTCCGAATTTGGCCCACCCCCATACCTCCCCTTGATCGTCTTTGCCCTCTTCATCCTAGCCTTTCTCACGCATTGCATGGTTCTCATCAATAAATGCTGGCATGGGCGTGTCGACAAAAAGTCGGTCGTGAATGTTCTCATATACGGTGTCTGGACGTATGTTGTTGCGAAGGGGATTTGGGATGTTGCGTGGTTGCAAGTGGATTTGAAAAGGTGTTTGAGGCCGCCGCCGAGGAAGCCGATGGAGATGGCTTGGATTCATGATGAGGAGTAGGTGGAGGTAAGGGAGGAAGGAGGGATGAGGGAATAGGGGGATGTTGGGGGAAGGGAGGATGGAGATGATGGAGAGGATGGGGAG